CAGACTTGAAGATCTACAAGGTCCCTTCTGATCCTACTTCTATGATTCTATGATGAGAATTATCCAGGAAGGTAAATGGAATAAGAGAATACTTTAATGTCCTAATTATTCCAAATACAATACAACTGTTTACTAACTACACAATAATGAAATACATATTATAGGATACTAACTTTCCCTAAAACAATTAAGCTTGCTGTAGCAGAGCTGCATGGGGGCTGCAGTCAGCCTGGGACAGCAGCAGAGGAAGCAGACAGATGGGGTCCCTGTAGCCATGGCCCTTTTTCTTTTTGTGGCTTGATCAGCACTGTGAACACTGCTAGGGAGTACCCCACCTTCTTGGGATGTTTGCCTACCATTACCTGATGGTATTAAGGTAGAATTCTATCCCAGAGAAGGAAGCCAGCTTTGCCATATGGGCTGTCTTTTTACTAGTCCAAAAATAATCAGCTATGGCCTGGAGCGTGGCCTCAGAGGCTTGTAACAGGGGGTCCTCTGACCCCTGACTCCTGGTTGATTAAATGCTCCTGCTATTAATTCTTTACAGACAGGAGCTAAACAGAGTACCTTCTCAGCTTCCAGGAATTGCCCATAATCCATCAGTTGCAAAAATAAACCCTTACCCCCTGCCACCACCTCTCTAGTGTAGGGTTCCTCCCTTCAGCACTTCCTTTGTCTTTTCAGGTCCTCCTGTGCTCATTCTGAGCCTATCAGCATTGGTTGCTGGTCTCCAGCCATGGTGTGTCTGCCTGGTATTAAAGTGAATTGCCTGTGATGAGCTGAGGTTAGGTGTTTCTGACCTGAGGGAATGAATTGCTCAGGATGTCCTGTCCCTGCTTCAGTGATCCTGAATAGGGCCTTTCCCTCTAAGGAACTCTGGTGGACAGTGCATCAGCCAGGACAGCTGTGGTCTGACTCTTTAAGGGGCCAGATTACAGCTGTCTTGGCTGAAACACTGCACCGGGCATCCCTGTTGCCCATCCCTTCACTTCTGGGCCTGCCTGTACCCCTGCCTGGGGAAACTTGTGAGGTAAGGGGATTATCCCTTTCATGCCTCTAGACCTACCTCGGGGTTTCATGGGAGTACTGCTCTGGGACTAGCTCTCCTGCTGTCCTGCTCCCGCTGCCACTCATCCCATTGCTAGTGAGGCAGCTTGGTTCCCGGGAGCTGAGGTGAAGAAAGCAAGTGGAGATTTCCACACCCTTCCCCCTCCCATAGTCCCCTTTTCTACACCTGATCCTGATGTAGTGAGGAACAGCTTGGAAGATGAGATGGGGAGGAGGAACCCACATGCTACCACCACTGCTGCTGTGCCAAGCTGAGCCCAGTCCCTGTACAGCCCAGCTGAAGGAGAACAGGAGCTTCCCTTGCCCCTGGGATTGGGAAGAGAGCAGTGACACTGGCAGCTGGGATAAGGGAGGGGAAGTGGTATGCCTCTGAGCATGGAGGGGAAGGGAAGTGGGTGAAATTCTTACTTGCTTTGGGAACTAAAGTCCTCAGCTTCTGCTCCTACCATGTGGTCAGAAAGGGGGTTGTGGCTACACCACTGAACATCTAGATTCACCCGTCCTACTATCACTGATTTTTAGCATAACAGTAACCTAGAGATTATATTTAATTTAGAAATACTTTGATAATTATGAGGAGTTAACAACAAGTAATATAATCTGACTCTTTTGGATTACAACATCTTTTTATTGTTTGTTTCACTGCCTCAACCTTCACAATATTATTTGTATTCTCATGATGCCTTTGCCCACTGCAATTTTTCAGAATACTCCAATATATAATCTTAAGTATTCTCATTTTCTTTTGGCAGACAGAAAAAAGTTCTCGCTTATGTAAGTGGTGTTTGTGGTATATATCATGCCCAATATCTCGGTTTCAAAGTCATGGAAGATTGTCAGCATGAAAGAGAACCTAAGGGTAAAGGGGAGTGAACTTAAGGATGGAGTGTGAAGATTTGGCGAGAGAGAAAAAAGTTTAATCTTCAAGAACCCAACCAAGACATGATCAAATGCAGTTACTGCCAGGAAGGACAGCAGCTTCATCATTAAGTGCAAGCACAAAAATAAAAATGTTTTTGCTGCTTTGCCCATCTGATCACAGTTCCTGCCTGAGCATGTTCAAATGAGCCATTAGAAATTAAACAATTTAGATTAACTGTTGAAACAATTGAAAACCATACTAGTTCAAGGTTGTGCAAGTGTTTATCCACCTGGCAGCTGCCTGCTTTACAAATGGACTACACTGTTGAGGGTACCTAGAAAAGGGGGTGGGGACCCCACATCCCAGCATGTTTTGCTGGCTCTTCAGCCTGCCAGGAGATAGGTGGCAGCACAGAGAACTGGGTTGACTGGCTGTAACTCAAGGCAGCTACACCTTCACTCCTAACAACACCCCTTCCTTCCTAGCCTGCCAGCTCTCAGGCTGTTAAACAGCAGACCCATAGGGGTCTGCAGTCTTTTGAAGCTGGGGTGCTGACCTTGGAGTGAGCAGTTCTTTCACCACAGTGATCCTGGAGTTCTGGCCATAGGAAGCCCTAGTTTCACCAGCACTCTGGGCGCTCAACCTCTGCCTGCTCATGGTCAGGAGGGGAGGTGTTTAACAGATGGCAACCCAGCCCCGGGTTTTAATAGGTTTTCCCAGGTGCACACAGAGGAAGTCTGGGTGCAGACAGAAGAACAGCTTCCCATTGTAAGTCATGGTGCTTTTTGGGAGACTCCCCTAGCAACTCCCCTCCTCCCTTCCAGCCTCAGTGCTGTTTTCGGAATGGGAGGGGGGAATGGAGCAAAGAGAGCTCTTTCTGGGGCTTCCCCAGCTGGTGCTGGAGAGTGGGATGAGTGGGTTAGAGCCCTCCCACCTTCAGGGAGGCCTCAAACCTGCTCCAGCACTGGCTGAAAAAACCCAAACCAAGCTTCCTCCATTCCCTTTCCTCTCTCCCATTCTGAAAAGAGCACCAGGGCTGAGAGGTAGTTCAGACACAAGTTACTGCAGTTACACCTGCATGCAATGAGGGCTCAGATTTTTGTGGTATCAGGCCCTTTTAAAGTGCTCTGTAGCCCGTGAACTTCTGTTTGGTCATAGCTGTAGAGCACTTTCAGGGTCCAGATCAGGCAAAAATTGTCACTTCTTTCTGCACCTTTGGAATCAACCAAACTAGGGTTAAGTTGATCTAAATTCCAATCTGTACAGACATTCAGAGAGGTTAAATAAGGCAAAAAAAAATGCGTAGCCTGATCTAATTTAGTTCAGAGCACACCCCAAGAACTAGGAAAGGCCAGTAGCTTGCCCCAACCCCAGGGCTGCAATTTTTACACCCCACCTCACCCTAACCAGGCTATTTTTAGCCCCACTAACTCCTTACCCCTTATGCCTAAAGACACAACCACCCCCAAAAACCCACTAACCTCCCTCCCCAATGTAAAACTGGTTTCTATGTGTGCTCCAAGCATACGGAAGGTGAAGCTAAACTGCAACTCACCTCCTGATTTAAATTAGGATAGTTCAACGTCACCTCTGAGTGAATATATTAAATGGTTGCACCAGATTTAACCCCACTGTGCTAAGTCTATTCTCTTCACCTCTTACAACATTGTGAATGTCTTGTCTGTCCATGCCTCTAATTCAGCAAGTTACCCAAAACCATGGATGGCCCTGCCTATTATAAAATGAGGCATCATGTGAGATTAGATTCTAACTATTAAGCAAGTACTTTGATGACAGTACACAGACAGTTCCTTGATTTAAGGCACACATATTTACAGTGCCTCAAGGCAGGTGTGTCAAATTCATCTGGGCCCATGGGCTGGAGGAAGATCTCTGGGCCAGATCCAGCTCAGCTGGAGCCAGTGGGTAAAGCCAGTCCAGTGGGGCATTGCATGCAGGCAGTCAATGTGTCAGCCTCAACAGGGGCTTGTGCTACAGGTAGCACATGGATTGGACCTGATGCTACAAGCACCACCTATGGCCTGTGGAACTGGCACCCCCACATGACTGGCCCTGAGCCAGTTCATGGCACGTGCTACAGGCAGCACAAACCATGAAGCAAGTATGCCTGCCTGCACATGGTGCCCCACTGAACCAAACCAACTCACTGGCTCCAGCATGGCCAGATCCAGCCTATTCAATGCCCCAGTGGA